TATTTCAATTCTGGATCTGTACTTTGTTCTGCGGCAGTTTGTTCATAATCAATAACAGAGATTTGTGATAGAGTGGCCACAACCACATTTTCTTGTCCACTAATATGCTGAATATCTGTGGTGAAATGTATTGTAGTTGACGCAGTTGTCTCAGGGATGCTTTTCTCATTCTTTTGCTTAAAGGCAAAGGTCAATGGCTTGTGATGTGTTACAATTACAAATTCTCTGCCTTCTAGCATATACTTGAAATGTTTCACTGAAAGATATATATCCTCAAGAGTTCACAATTGTAGGTGCTGCAAGATTTCTGAGCATTATTCAGTTTCTTTGAATGGAAAGCAATTGGCCTCCAGTTTTCTGCTTCAAACTGTTGTAGTACTGAGCTAGTAGCCAGATGATAATGAAAGTCCAGGTGAGGGGAAACATAAAAGGGCAGCATTAGCTAAATCATTCTTGCATTTTTCAAATTGTTATATTGCCTCGTCAGTCCATGGGACTTTTCTTTTATCTTTCTTTTTTGCATCCTTTAAAAACTCATGCAGTGGTGCCTGTGTTTGAGCAGCATTTCTCGAGTACCTGCGATAAAAATACATCGTACACAAGAAGGTATATATCTTGTAGGAGCACAGGCAGTAGGTATTCTAAAATGACTTGGACCTTGCTGGGCAGGGTATATGATCCTTTAGCATTAATCAGGTAACCCAGAAATTCAATTTGGTCTACTCTCAGAATGGATATTGATATATTAATGGGAAGGCCAAATTTGCTCAGTCTCTCAAACACTATTTGCAAAAGTTGTTTGTGTTCATCCTCAGATGATGATATGGGAATAGAAAATCCAAACCGAAGAAAACGTCAGTAAATGAAATGCTGAAAGGTAGCTGGTGCATTTCTGTGTCCAAAACTCATAACATTGAATTGAAATAAGCCAAAAGGGGTAATTATGACAATTTTTGGTTTGTCTTCTTCAGCGATTGATATCTGATAGTATGCTTTTACTAGTTCAATCTTTGAAAATATATTTTTACCCTGCAAGATAAGGTGAAAATCTTCAATTCCGAGAACTGGGTGATGGTCAGGTATCATTTGGTCATTTAACCGTCTATAGTCTCTGCAGGCTCTAACTGTTCCCTCCTTTTTACTGACTAAATATAGGGGACTAGTCCATTGAGATTTTTATGGCCAAAGAATTCCCTTCTCCAACATGAATTGAAATTCTTTTCACCATCGAGTAGACAGGCTCATGAATGCAAGGTACCCCTTTGGTTATTATGTGATGCTTCACGTCATGTTTACTTGAGGTACTGAAAACGTATGGCTTAGTTAAGTCTGGGTAAGATTTAAATTATCCATAAAACTTTGATTTATGGTTGTTATTCAGTGTGCGGATGATGAGTTCATCGAAGATAGCCCTAACTGCTGCCTTTACGGATAACTGAGTAACACCATCACCATCAATCAATTTCCTGTTATGAATATCAATAAGTAGTTGAAAATGATTTAGAAAATCAGCCCCAATGGCACCTTTATTGTTAACCTTGGTGATGATAAATGGCCATTGAAATTGTCGTCTTGAGTCCCAAGTGAAGATTTATAGTTTTTACACCATAAGTTAGGATCTCTGTGCCATTGGCAGCATATAATGTATAGGAACAAGGCATAGTTCCTGCTGTACTTGCCAGAATATGGAATATGTCGTCTCCACTGTCCACTAAAAACTGTAATCTCGAATTTTGGTCGGTGATATATAGTCAGAATTTGTGGCAATTATAATTGCTTGTAATAGAACTGGCCGTGGAGTTTACTGTTGATTTACTTTTCCTGACTGTTTCCATTTGCAAGGTTGTCTACATTTTTCAGGATAGCATTTAGCATCAAATTTAAAATTGTAATAACAATATTTACCTTTTTCATCAAATTTCTTTCTTGACCTCGAACAGCTACTGTGATTCCTAATGAAGTTGCGAGTCCTTGGCCTGGAGTTCCAGGCAGTCATGCTGGCAATTTGGAGCTCTTAATGAGGCGATTTTCTGCTGTAGTTCTTCCACCACTGTATTTTTACATGGCAGCCAATTCCTGGCTTGAGTTCAGCTCCACAATTTTATCAGCCATTGCGGCCAACTAGTCCAGTCTCGTCACTAACCAGTAGAATGTATTTCACAGCATCTGACATATTTTCCAGCCAGAAAAATCATAAAATATTCTCCAACATGTCCGCCTCCTGAGATTTCATTCTGAGAAGGAGCTGGCTGGGTTTCATGTCGCACAGTGAACAGACATTTAATGTGGTGATTTTCACTTTCCTTAAAAGTGTTGAGTAATCATCCCTTAGCAGCCAAATACTTATTGCTTGTAGAGTCTTTTATGATATCTCAGATGTTCTCCATAAATCTAGGTTCCAACTAGGCAACCAAATAATTGAACATCGTTTCTTCATTCTCGATTCCACCACTATGCAATTGGGCCTCTACTTGATAAAACCACATCTCAGGTCTTTCAGCCCAAAATGGTGAATTTTCACGCTGACCTTGTTAGCTTCATCATTTGGCTGGGAAGTTTTATCGTCATCCATACCAAAACAAATTGTTATTACTTATCATCTGATTCACCAAATTATTGCATGTCTTTTAAATAAACCTAGGATATACTCCTGTACTTTAAAATCTGAATGTAAGTAAACAACAGACTTGTGAGACCAGTTCTAATTCTTTGTTTTTTCAAAAACAAACAACAGCAAAAAAAAATTTTAAATGTATGACTACAAGCCATCATCTAACATTACTTACTTTAACTATTACGGTTTCCAACACATCCCTTGCAATAAAACATTCATCAGTCTATCCATCCACTGCTGTTTTTATTTGATTACTTTGTTGATTGAAGAAGTAAAGCTACTGTTCCAAAGCATTAAAATGTTCTGAAATCTCTTAGAGTTATTCAATTTCTGAATCCAATTTGTTCCATCATGTTAAGAATAATATTTAACACGATGTTGGTCTTTTTATGTAAGCAATGGTGACTTTAGTTCAGATCTGCATTTTTTGTGTGATAATAAAATCAATAATGTTGGTCTGATAACAACATTAACTTTGGGATATTTCTCTCAGATGATTTTAACATTGCAAAATTTAGCATACCCATGTGCTTTGAACAAGACTTACACTTTTTTTTGTAGTCATTGGGATCTTATGCCCATGCGTGTTCAGCTATCAACCCCTTGATCATCGTAGACCTCCTTTAAAATTTCATTAACCCCCCCCCAGCAGACTTATAATAACCCCAATAGGAAACCCTGATTTATACTATCCTTTATTGAACATAAAATAGCACTGAAAGTGAATGCAAATTAAAAATAATTTGTGCTGTGTTGTAGTCACAAAATATTTGTCAGCTGCAAAAACTTAAAGCTCTTGATATAAATGTGTAAAAAATGTAGTAAAGTGTGTGTAAATATAATATAAAAGTGTATAATATAAGTGGATGTAAATATGTTGGCAATTATTAACAAAATAATAAAAGTATGCATTTTTTCAATAACTTTTATTTTGTGCCAGAATTTCAGTACTTTGATCTTTTTTTCCTTTGAAATATTTATGTATATTAAAATCCTTAAGAAAAGCTCACAACTTATTTTTTTATTAACTCTTGATAAATAGGATTATAAGTTATGAATAAAATCATGGAGCAGTTTTATATTTTTATGCATGGGAAAATCATGTTGCAGTACCCAATAAGTAGCAGCTGAACTTTATTGGTTTGGTTGTAGGAAAGAGGGATGGGAGACCCTCATTCTGTTCCGTGGTGCTGTCCCTCAAAATTAAGATGGAACTGGACAAAATTATACTGTCACCTGTATGGTAAACAAAGCTGTTGCAACGACAGAATGCAATATTTTACTCCTTGCCATGATAAAACTTGAAGGCTTATTAAGTCAAACAAGAGAGATTAATCATAACAGCAACACAAAAGAAATACAATTGGTGAAAATAAATAAATGTGTTTGTAATTTACATAATTTTCATGCCACTGACTCATTTTTTTATTTGATGGTGGAGTTATTTTGTAAATTATTTTTGCTATTTAAAAAGAAGGAGCAAGATTGGTTGAAAACATTGCTTTTTATAGTCAAAGGGTGCTGTTTTATGATTATCTAAGTGTGGAGTCTTTTTCTTTATATTTTTTATGTATCTCTTCTATTGGCAGTCACAGATTAAATACACAAACACATATTTATTTTAATCTCTCTCTCTGTTTTCTTTCTTTTCTTTTTTTTTTTTTTTTTTTTTTTTTTTTTTTTTTTTTTTTTTTTGGTGTGTGTGTGTGTGTGTGTGTGTAATCTGAATGAAATTAAGGACATTTGAAAATTTGATTCGTAAAGGTAATAAAAGATGCCTTTTTACTAAGAAAGGCTAAATTTTTATATTTAAAAAAAATAAAGAGGTGTTTCTCATAAGTGTTTCTTTTCAGCATCCAGGAGAATGCTGTGTTTTTCTTTTTAACCTTTTAACTGTCATGCCCAAGATTATCTCGGGCACAGCACTGGTGTTCGAAAATGTCACACCCGAGTATTTCTCGGGGTAATTTTTTTTTTGGAGTGCATTGTATTGTCATACCCGATTATATATCGGGAGATGTTTATTTCGGCTACATTTGGTTTTTCCAATAAAAAAATTTGACAATTTGTGTACCCAAATCATCAAAATAACTTGACAGTTAAAGGGTTAACTTGTAAATATTGCATTGATTTATTTCAAATTAATTAATAATGTACTGTACCAATGAGGTAATTCAATATAATTAAATACTTGTTAATTCAGTAATTTATAAAATGTATACTTGTAAAATATTTCGCTTTTAAACTAAATATACATTGACATGATATACTGAAACATATTTATAAATTTTATGAAGGAAGGATAACTTCCTCGTTTCTTAAACAATTAAAACAAGAATATTTTTTAATAAATTAAATATTCTAATTTGAGTTTTTTTTATTTCAGAATCAACTTAATGCAGTTTTCACTATTCGCCAAGAAATAATGAAGTCATTATCACTATATTATTATACATTTGTGGATCTTTTGGATTTTAAGGTATCATATTTTAAATCCGTGTGTTGTAGCCAAAGTTAAAAAGCGATTATTTTTACATTTGTCACTTTATCTTAGAACTCTGAGATTTTAAATTAGAAAATGTATTTGTAAAATGACCATATTAAGTAGAAGATTCTTTTTTTCTTGGCATTATGAGCAGAATTTTGTCTAGCATTTGATAATTAGGCTCTCTCATGTGTAACATAGGTGGTGGTTTTGCTATTTTTCGTTTTGTTATTGCCAAGGAAATTTGATGCTTTGAATGCATCTTAACTCCATTGCTGAGATATTAACTAAGGTCTTGCTGATTTTTTTTTCCTCCAGAACTGAAGGTTATAAGGTCTTAGTTATAAACTATGCAACAGGGGGGGAGAAAAGAGTTTGTCAAATATTTTTTTTTTTTTCCCCTCAGCACTAGGCTTCCAACTCAAATTTATGGCTTCGTATCTTACCTAATGCACTGCCAAGACTTGTCAGACAGTTTTTGTTTCAGTGCCTGTTTGTATAGCTGTTAGATTTCGGCCAATAAGTATTAGCATTTAGCATCAATTGTTATTAAAAAACATATTTGTGCCTTACAGTACAAAGTTCAAAATTGGGACATCCAATACTTCTAGACCACTAGCAAGTATTTTTTTAAAGAAATTATTTGCAAAAAGGAAGAAAGAATGAGATTCTAAGAATAGCATCTCACTTTAGCATGTGCCTAATACTTCATGCAAATGCAGTAGACATTTTTGCATAGTAAAGCATGTGACGGGTGTCTTGATTCTTAATTTCACTTTGGCACTAAATAAAATATCTCATCATTTATTAGCATAAATGATATGATCAATAGTTTGACTCTGTAGCTGCCTTTTTACTCAACATGCATCTCAAACCAAAACATTCTACGAAAATTGACCACTGATTTTACATCTACTGAATAACTTATAACCCTGATGTGAACCTGGCAAATTATTTTTTGCTTTCATAACCACATGACTATCAACTCATGGCAGCTTGAGAAATGACTTGTACAGTAATGTCTAAGACATTGTTTTTTTAAAATATTAGTAATTGAATACCAAACATCATGGTAACCTTTTATGTTGACATTATGCTTGGCAACAACTGCAGATCTCAGCCAGCTGTACTGTGAAGTATTGAGTGTGTTGTTGGGGAGAAATTTGACAAAACTTTCTATTTGCAAAGAAATATATCTTGTAAATGATATTCATATGCCAAAAGACTGCATTTAGTACTGTTTGAATTAGGAATAACTGTTTTTTTGTTTCAGTAAGATATGTTGGAATATATTTATTCTTGACTCGCGTAAGCTTTGAGTATATGCAGGAAATAGACATAAATATAATAAATAGCTAAATATAATGTTGGCATAACTTCCTCAGTGTATGATAGAAGAAAGATAAAATTTAGTAGAACAGCATGAATTTAATCACCGGTCTCTTGATATATTGCCAATAGTATTGTATAGCAGACGCTAGCTAAGCTTTATGATGATAGTCACAAATTTGAAGGTTTTCAGATATTGAAAATATGAAGCGAAGTTTTCCAATTAACGAAATTTGGGAAGAAATTTAAAAAAGTAATAAATGAGCATGATTCTGCAGAAGTATTCCATTGCGATGGCAATGCCCTTCAGTCAGTTAATGGATGGTAAAATCAGTAGTATGTTTCTAAATCCAGAAAATACCACTACTGATAGTGAAGAAAGTGACAGAGGTTGTTAAAAATGAAAATTTTGATTCCCAACTAATAGTGAAGAAAGCGACAAAGGTTGTTAAAAATGAAAAATTTTGGTTGGTAATGTAATGGGAATTTTCGACACGCCAATTACGGGATTTTCAACAATCGAACTTCGTAACTGAACAAGAAAGCACAAAAAAATGAAGCAATTTAAACAATGTACATTGAAGAAATGTTTAATAAAGTAAACAGAAATATACTGAGTTTTTTGGCAGGGAGGCAAATTTCGATTCTCTTAATAAATGTTTCACTATTTTGTAAACAGCTATCTCGTATTCATAATTTTCACATGTCATCTTACTAGATTTAAATTGATCTAAAACCTTGAAAATTCAGAAATTAGCAAAGTCCCAACAAGTCCAGATCTTAGTTTTTGTACAATACTTTTCATCTTAAATATGAGAATCTTACTTCACTTAACAAAAACTGCTGGATAAAAATTTAAACCTATAAAAGGTTGACAGTTACATCTTCACTGCTGCTGAATACAGCTCATCCGCACCCCATTGTTCTTTGTATCTAAATTTTCATGTTCGTTTTAAAATGACAATTTTTCATTTCAGGCTGTGGTTTCTTCCAACTGTAACACAAACTTCATTTATGTATGTTGTCCAGGATTCTTTTGTTGATATGATTTGGCAATAATTGTTGTTTCTCAGTTGGTCTTTTAGGAATTTTGGTTACATAGGTGTTTTTGACATTTACCATCTCAGTATTTTATACAGAGAATTCTGTCATCAATATAGCATTTACACTGGGCTACTAAAATTCAAGTGATAATTTATGAACATCCATTAAAAGCATACAAATTCTTCATAAACATCAAACCCAGTTTGCCTCTTTTCTTGGATGCATTTACAAAGTATGACGAGCATTTCTTCAGTAGCACTAAATTGAAGATCATACAACACATCTAGCAGGTCAGCCAGCTGAGATCTGAGCACTGGCTCAAAAGTTTGCTCTTAATATTTTCCATATATCTTTGCCATCAGCAGTACCTGAGATCAACAGGTACAGCTAGTTGATGCATTGGTAGATTGTTGTATAAGCATAGGTTTTTATTTGCATATAAGTTTGTTTAGCCAATCCACTCGGCAGCATTTGGCTTTACTTGTATAAATTTTGAGCTTCTGTCTAACTGTAAATCTATATCATTCTGCATTATAATTTTATTGCATTTAACATAAAGTTATAAGTAAAGTTAATTCATTCATCTTAAAAATGTATCTCAACCCCATAATTAAATATCATGAAAGTTTGGTTAAAAAGTCTGTAATCCTATTCGTCTTGCTTTCTGTTGGATTTCAATCAGTAAATATTAGTAAAGCATCAATAAATTTGGTACTGTTCTGTTATCGGAGTCAGCTTCAGAAATATATGAATGTATGCGTGTGTGTATGTATTGTATTGCAAGTGCATATATGTGTTTATGCTATTCACACATACATTCATGCTTCCATATATATGTATACACGCATACATGAACACAAACATTCATCCATCCATACATGCATACATACATTTCTGGTTCCAGTACCATAAAAGTTTACTAGAATTCATACTAGTATGAACAACTTGATCTAAGATACCCTGGTTTCTAAAAATTAAAGAAAAATCACAAAAAATAGTGATAACTTGTCCAAAAATAAGCCAGTCCGTATAAAATTTGAATACGTTGTCAAGTAAGAGTTACTAAGTAAAAGTGCAGTATGCAAATTAATGGTGCTGCAATCAGAATGTGTCATCTACGAGGAGCATAATATTGGATATTTGAGAGAAAGCCTGTAAATTTTACGGTGATACTGAGATAAGAAATCTGAGAAAGCCAATTCATAGCAATGACCCTCGGGCATCATTTGCCTGAAGAACTGCGATAGAGAGCTATTGGGAGACTAGATGCAGGACGAAGTCAGACAGAAGTAGCCACATGGCTAAATGTGAGTTTTTCTGTGGTTTATAGACTTTGGCAACAATTTCTAACCACAGATTTGGAATCCAGAAGTTCAGCCAAGGATGTCGAACCGTTATGCCAAGTGTCAATGACCAATATTTGTTATGCACCTGAACCATCTCCTCAAATCTTATCCTCCCTTTGCTGCAGCCACCAGAAAGTTGATGTCAACTGTGCATAGAAAGCTTTATGGAGGAGGTCTGTACACAAGGTGACCAGCCATTTGTCTGCCACTCGTGTCACATCGTAGAAGGGAACATTTGAGGTGACACATCAACATATCTACTAGACGGCTGATCAGTAGGAGTTTACTCTCTTTATGGATGAGTCCAGGTTTAGCCTCCTAAATAGGCATTATTTGATTTGGAAAGTACATGGAACCTGTTATTATCCATCAAACATTCATGAAAAAGTTGCATAGGGAAGAGACAGTGCCTGTGTATGGGGTTGTATATTTTTGGGTGGATGTGCAGACCTCCATATCTTTCCATCTGGGAATTCTCAGGACTATGGAGACGACATCCTTGATGCTTATGTGTGTCCTTATGCCAGGACAATATGTAATGATTTCCTGCTACAGAACGACAATGCCAGACTGCACAGGGCTCGCATCATGGATGATTATCTTGAGCGACAAACAAATCAGTGCATGGAGTAGCCAGCTCGATTACTCGACCTGAATCCTAGCAAGCATGTTTGGGATGCTTTAGGAAGACATATACCTGCTCTCAATCTTCATTTTTCAGACCCTTGTCACACTTGAAAGTGCTTTGAAAGAGCAATGGCTCTCACCTCCTGTGGAACTGATAGGCCATATAATTAACAGCAACGCACATCACTGTTTGTGCTGTATTACTTCTAGGAGAGATCAGATTCTGTATTGAAGGTAATTTTCCTATACCAGACTCATACGTCTGATTTTTTTTCATTTTATAAATATGCTAATTTCTTTAACACCATAATTGTCTGGTAGTTTTTTTTTTTTTTTTTCCATGTAATTATACCTTACTGTGTGTTGTATGCTGTGGTTCAGTTTCATTAAATTCTACATGTAACATTTTGAGTAATCATCATTTTTGTGATTTTTCCTTAATTAATGATAACCAATATAAGATTAAATGGGGAAGTTGTTCACATAGATAAAAATTGCTTGATAAAACAAATTTTAGAATGTACATCATGACTGAGATAGGTATCTCAATAACTATACCAATACCTGGAAGAAATCTTTTATATACATATGGAACTTTATCGGATGTGAGTGTTTTGAGCTTTCCATGTCGCTAGTAAAGATGACCTT